TATTTGACAAATACTAATCCCCAAATCCGTCCATTTCTGAAAATTACAGAAAAGCAAATGTTGTATATTACCTTTGAATAAAGGGTTGTCCTAGAAATGAAACAAGAGAAGCAAGGATGCCAATTAAGAATGAAAACATCTTTTAATTTCAATTTCCATTGTCGATTGACCATTTACTACCGATACATGTATTTCAACACCATGAACATCAACTTTTACGTACAGCAAATAAGGTACCGGTACACCACGTTAAAAAAATGTATTGCTATATTGTGATGAGTTCAAGGTTAATGCAAACTGTAGTTGGCTCATTTAAAATTTTTGTATTATAAGCGATCAATTTCAAAGAAAGAAAGGAGAATAAGGGGCCAAAGTATAATTGTTCCGCATCATCACTTACGAGGCACATGCATTATTGACGACAATTTATCAAATAATCGGATGCGATCCAGATGGCGCTACTTGGCCAATGTTATGAGTTGCACTGATCCATTTCCGATGACGAGTGCAAAAAGAAATAGGAAACAGAGGAAAGCTAGTTCTTGAAACTGCACACGAGTGCTTGGGCTCAGAAGGACCTCATCACTATCTGATTATTGCCAGATAATTGTTCCACTTCTCATTTAACTGGGAAGCATTGGCGTCCGTGGAGCATTGATAATGATAGGGAGACATCATTAATTCTGTCGGCTCTTGGAATAGCGAATGGCCACTTGAGGAAATAATGACAAGTGGTTGGAATATTCTCACCTCATGAATATCTCAAGTTGAATGTCAGAGCTGTTTTGGTGGGACTTGAAAATCAACCATGATTTTTTTTTTTTGTGCAGTTCGTGCATGTGTGCATTTACATGTGTGCACTTCCTTTAAAGTGTAGCGTAGTGCGTGGATTTGAGTTGGGGTTTTTAATTGACTATGTAGAAATGTATCTTTAGTTGACGCAATTGTTTGAGCCTCCTTGAGGTCCAAAATTATGCATTCATTCAAACAGAATGGAGACTTCAGCTTTAGAAACGCCCCTTTCTCTCTCCTACACCCCCTTCCACAAAAAGTAGTAAAGAAATTATCAGGAAGGTAAGGTGTGCTTTTCATTTATTTAATAACACCGAGTCACCGACACAATTCAAAGCCACGCAAAAAACCTCATTATATGATAAAAAAAAAGTTCGGATTTCAAACATAATTTGAATACATAAATGTGCGTAAATTGTAAGTTTGACAGAGGAAGCATGTAAACAAAGAAGGCTTATATACAGGGTGTCCCAATGGATGGCGTTTAAATCTCACCCTCTTCCACAAAACTGATGAAAATCGCTCCATAAAATTTGTCATGCCTAAACATGATCTGAAATTTTGGTTAAATTCCATTGGGAAAACAACAGAGTTATTAAAGATCAAAAGTAGGACATGTTTTTTGACATGCAGGGGTATGTATTGTCAAACTTGGAATGGAGCGAAATGGACTGGTGTTACATTAATGGCATTTGTTTCAAAACCACTGAACCGAATCCAACAAAAACTTCACACAAGAAAGAAAAATGGTTGGGCTCGTCAATTCTATAATTGAATTTGAAATATTCTTCATAAATTATGAGAATTCTGTACACCTCGTGAGGGACATTTTTTCATTGTGGTCCTTTGGCCTGATCAAAAACCTAAGAAAAGAAATTCCATGTTAACATGTAAAGCATGAAAGGTCCCACACACACACACACGATGTACCGGTAACTTCCTCCCCTGGAAAGGAACAAGTCAAGTTCATATTAACACCGATTAACACCAATTAACACCGATGTACCGGTAACTTCCTCCCCCTGGAAAGGAACAAGTCAAGTTCATAATAACACCAATTAACACCGATCTACCGGTAACTTCCTCCCCTTGGAAAGGAACAAGTCAAGTTCATATTAACACCAATACGGGCGATTCCCAATAGTGCGCCTCCAAGAGTTTGCAACGCGTTGGCCAATCACAATGCGCGAAATCAGTCGACCTTTTCCAAACGCGCATTGGGTCGACAGATTTTGCGCATTGTGATTGGCCAACGCGTTGCAAACTCTTGGAGGCGCACTATTGGGAATCGCCCGTATTGGACTGATACAAAATTGTAGGGACAACAGTTTGCTTGAAAAAAGTGCTGAAGAGGTGGCTTAGTATGAGTAATCAGCAACATGCGACTTGATAAATGAGGGCAGGCGTACATGTTACATTCTTGTTCTGTTGATCTACACTGTCATAGTGAGATTATTCGGGTCTTAATGCCCTCAATCTGCCCAGGTCTTTGTCCAATACAAACTTGGAAACTGGCATAAAACTTTAATGTGACATTGCAGTAGCGCCCTCTGTTGTTAGAAAATACACAGTCCAAAAACAGACTAAATGGAATCTTGTACCAAATCAGTTTTCCACACATAAATAAACAAATCTTCAATTAACTACATGTATGAAAACATAGGTTGGCATAGAATAAATTGTAACACACTGCCACCTTTCTTTGCATTAAAATCCCTCAAAGCAAAAGCCTTTCCAACTAACTGCATGTAAATTAAATTAGGTTTTGCCCTTCACCGACGTTTAAACACTGTATACTCAGTGTGTTACCTCCCGAGTGAAAGTTGGAAAAAATCACTCGGGTGGGACTTGAACCCACGACCTCCTGCTTTCTAGTGCAGACGTCTTACCACTCGACCACCGAGCTAACGGGATCGGTTAAATGCATGTAAATTACTCCCTTGAATTGGTGTTTCTGTTTCAAGTTGTACATGTGCAGATCACTGATAGAAATCGTCATTATTTTCTTTTTCTTCCCTCTCTGTTTTTGAAATCACAGCAATCTTTTAGGTATCAAGACTACAGTTTTTCTGGATGGATCCTTCTGCCTGGACTCTGGGCATTTGAAGTCTGTGTCGGTAGCCAGGATTCTTCAGTCCGGAGCTTTCCATTACAACAACAGGTAAGATCAGTACCATCAATGGGTGGTAAAGGGTTAGTTTATAATACTTATTAACCCTAACCCTAACCTTCCCAAATTCTACAAAATCCTCTTTGCAAAATGGAGGATTTTGCAGGATTGAGTCAATATGGTAAAAATGCGTTGCTGAGTTTGGAGGATGCACTGTGTCAAGGTCTTGGGACATACCTCGTGTTGTTTATGCTCAGCCATGCATAAATTTAGGCCTATGTAAAATCCTCCGCACTGCTCCAGGATGTCACTGGCTCTGCCTCATATTGACAGTGATTGCTGGAGGATTTTGCAGGATTGAGGTAGTGGTCACCCCTCCAAAGACCACATTCAAGAAGTAAGGGAGGATTTTGGAGAATTGAGGCTGTATGCAATTTTACATGGATGCAGTGGGATGCTTTTGCGGGATTGAGGTAACATCCTACAATGTAGCAAAAATGCCCAGGGAGTTAGGGTTAATAATACTTAAACAAAATATACTTTTCATGGGAAAAAATCTTCAATACAATGTACATGTAAATCTTTTTGTTTAACATGTTGCCGTTTTGTAGGCCTGTCAAGATGCTAGGCCTATGGGTTTGCACGCATGGAAATCAGCCATGTGTATACGTGCAAGTGAGTGGAGTCATACACCCATGAACAGAATACATGGTGTGTCCTAGATGCCATCTATTGTTCATTTAGGGAGTCCACATTATAAAAGCTGATCATTGCATATATATATTTAGGTTAAAATTAAAATATTTAACGCAACACCAAATATCATACATCATTACAAATCTGCTAAAGGTATTCATTATACAAGCATTGAAATAAAATGCATAGGTTAGTCAAATCCACAATTCCTAGTACAACCATGGGTCCTTGCTCTATGGTAAAACGTACCAAAAGTGTTTCATGGCAAGGCATGGCCAAAGTCTGAATACATGTATAATAATGCTTGAGTCCGAATACAAAAGTTTGAGTCTGAGTACAAAGGAATTTCAATCATAACCCATGTTGTGTTTATTTTTACCAAATTACTAAAACCTTTTCCAATCCATCAAATTCCCAAGTTGGGTTTTGTTGTATGGATTCAGCACAACCTCTATGCAACTAATGTACGCTTACAGAACATTACTTTCTCAAATCCTTCAAAATCAACCTGGGTTTTTTGAAGAAGTTGCAGAAAGTAAGGGACCAGTCACTGTATATTAAAGGTAGAGTACAGCATTTGTCATTTGTGCATTTTTTTTCATTTGAAGCCACAAAAATGCTCAAAATCCAAAGAAGGGTGCCGATGAAGTTTTAGCTCATTGAATGCTGTATATTCCGAGCAAACAATATTCTAGGATTTCAATTTCAATGCAAAAAGTTGCGGAGTCATGTTTTGATTTTGCATTACCGGGTAGTGTGTGGGAAACATTCTCATTCAGCCGATTGCAGCTACCCGGTAGGCAATATCATGCACTCTGAACTGACGAATTGTAGCAACTGCGCGCTCGTGTTCATCATGTCAATGCTTGTGCGCACCAGTCGGAAATTTCCAAAAATGCGTCTTTAGACGCATTTTTGGAAACGACCTTCTTTTATTGTTTTCTTCAAAATGACAGCATTCCAGAAAGAATAATTTCACAGGGAGTTTAGTGCCATTACTATCTTTAAACCAAGTAAGCTTCTCCACAATAATTTTCTTTTTGGATAGCTGCAAATGATGTCCTCTACCTTTAAGTAGGGCTTGATCTATTGTAATCTGATTTGAAAGCTAAAGAATACGCTGTTGGGTTTCCTGTAGATTGGAGGATTTTGGAGGAATCAGGAAGGCTCCTAGAAAATTACCTTAAGACTTGCATATATGTAAGGTTAGGGAGATAACTGGTTTACTTCAAACAAAGCTATGAAACAAAGAGTTAAATATCCAACAGACGATATATCCATTTGAAAAAAGTGACAAACTTGCACAGTTATGAAAAGGTACATGTAGTTAACATTTATCAGTATTACAGCTTTTTCTACATTTTCGCTTTAGTGTATTTTTCAAATTGTGTTCAAAAAAATACATACATGTACTGTACACAATGTAACAGCCATCGATACTGACTTTAAGCAACCAGGAGAGGGCAGGATTCTTAAAGAAAACAAAATGGCGTTTATCGTGTGTGGGAAACAAATTGTTCACATACTCCTGGTACTAGTAGGTTTTGGAAGCATGGTAAACCACTTCAGTACACATGCTTTCAAGTGTATGTGTACCTCTGACTGGTGATTCGGTTACCATTCCAACTTCATGTCTGCTTTACTCCATGTGTACTTCCCTCCTCTCTTGAGGAACATCTGCTCATCGAATCCGCTGAACTTGAGTGCCTCAGTCACCCCCACGTCTAGGATAGACTTGGAAGGGTCCTTGTTGCCTTTCGTGCAGTCCAGGAATCTCATCTGTTGAAATGTTAGAAATGCAACCAGACAGAATATGTTTTATTTGTCGATTGCAAATGTCAAGGGTCTAATGTTGTGCCTACTGTACACGTACCTATACGTATTGATTTTTTCCATCCCAAAACCAGAGAGTAAGTCATGTTGATTTTGTTTCACAAAAGATGCCTTTAAACAAAAGTATCAGACAATAATTACCAGTTATACCGGTAGTACTTAAATTAAATTTAGGCCGGACACTTTGAGTGTTAGCAGTAACGCCCTACAAATTATCCAGGTAGGTAGGTAGGAAAAGGATTTTACTTTGTAAGTTTTTGTTTGCATGTATGTTCGTTAGTCATGTTAGTCGGTCTTTTATACTGACTTTGTTTACTTATATGGTTACCTTTGATGGTATTCTGTTTAATTAACCAAAATTAAAAACAAAATTGGCCAAATGTGGCAAAGAGGCTGCCAAAAATCCAGGTACCGTACATGTACATAGGTTGGGTTACCATATTAAACACACAATTTTTTTGGGGGGGGGGGTCTTGCCCATTAGTCCCAGAGAACTACCAGTCCACCTTACCTGTGCTTCCCTGTCTCGCCCAACTCTGCCCCAGCACTGTGTGATTGCATGCATTCATCAGGGAATACCGGTAAATTGTGCTAATGAGTTCTGCTTAAAACTGCTTACTTCTGCACAATTGCCAAAGTTTGGCTATCCTTTGCAGGAGCTAAACAGTTTTTTAATTGCTCCATGCTTTCCCATTCCATAATTTTTAAATTCATTTCGGCACTAAAATGTGCCTTACTAATTGCAGTGGTAGGGTTACCAGTTTATTGATCTCTGAATGTAATAGTAGTGATAATATTTAATTAATATGGTAGATACTTACATATTCATCAAGTATGAGGTAGGAGTTCTGCATCTGTGTTAAAAAGAAAATAATTTAAAGAAAATAAAGAACTTTGCAGGATACAAAATACATGAAGATATTGTACTGCCTGTCTTGCTCAAGTATGTGTAGATCATGCCGTCTCTAGAGCCAGGGTACCCCTGTAAACCAAGTCCCATATGTTTCTCATTTTTTGAACTAATGAGTTTTATTATTCATGACCAGTTCCTAATATGGACTGACATAATTTCTGACCAATCAGATCGCTCTTTACAAAAGCTGAACCAGAATTGATCTCCTACCAATCAAAATGGCAGTGCGCTTTGCTTTTCTGAAAAGTGCTCTCCTATTGGCTAACACTGATGACCCTGTAATTCCAGAAATCGGAATATTCAGTGCATAGGAAAATGTCTACACAGAGGATCTAATTGGCTGACGGTGAGTGTAAAATTGGTAAGGGTTGTCCAGGGCATCTTATGAATTACGACTGCCGTCGCTAGCGAAAATGAAGGGAACGAAAGATAAGACCAATAAGTTGGAAAATGGACTACACAATATGAGATCCCCTAGATTCATTGACAAAATATATGCTGATACCTTCTCATTGGACTCTGGTACCAAGCATTTCACGTCTTTGTGCCTGTCAAGAAATGCCTGAAACTCTTCAGGACTGATGACGTAAGACTCAGCGTGTCGCAGGGCATCTTCCCCGCTATTCTCTCCACCAATCAAAAGACACTGGAAAACCTGAGCAGGAAATAAACAGTTTTGTAAACAACTCCAAAAACAATATCTTTAGAATTGTAAATGTGGCAAAAAAGGTTTGTAAACCATTCATACATGTAAGACCATCTCAGTTCCCTTAGGAGCACATCATGTATTCAAACTGACTTGTAACTGGACGATACCAGTTTAGTGAAATTGCTTGCTGACATCTTCAATTTAGTTTTAAAAAAAAGGTTTGTGTGACATATTTCACGCAGTGGTTCGCCAAGTATGAGCTGTTTCCCATTCCTTATGCTAATCCAGTTATCATCTTTATTTGGAGGGAACCAGTCTACACAACTACTAGAAACTGCAAGAAATATGCTAGTGGTAATCGTTTGTGAGTTTTGGACGTCCAAATGTTGTTGAGAAGCGTTTTTGATAGGACAAAATAGTTGCACTGTTGTGAGATAATGGTAATATCAGCAGCCTCATTGTTATGTGGACATGGCCGTAGTCAATCTGAATCAATTGTTCTTTCTGCTCACTTTGCTGTGCTGTTTATAGGCTTTGTTGCAAGGCGCGGCAAGACTGCACTGCTGACCAACTTACAAAAAAATGAAATAAAATTTCCAAAAAAAAAATGCAAGACAATATCCGCAAAAACTAGAGTTGGAGCTGCATACACAATGTAAGTATTTATTCGTTAGTTCTATTTTTTGAATAAGTGCCCCTTGAACAAAGAAATTGACAAAATTGGGGAACGGCCAACAGAGGACAGGATAGCTCAGTTGGTAGAGCTCTGGAATGGCAATCTGGAGGTCGCAGGTTCAAAACTGCTCCAGACAATTTCTTTGTTCAACTTTACATGTAGGTTCTCCATGATTTTCTAGGTTGGGTGGGGTAACTGCAAACGGGGTATTGTGCCTTATTCATGTTTACTGTACAAACCTTCCATCTGACTGGATCCAGGTCAGTAATGTAGTCAGCCATATCCTCGCCTTTGTTGTGTGTGTTAATCACACTGTTGATCTTGAATGCAACCTAGTGAGGAAAATGTACCGTCTCGAAAAAATGAAAATGACATCCCTCGAAAACAAAAAGAAAATGTAAACAACTTCTTAACTCTGCTGTATGATATATTACATACATGTGAAAACAGTGAGCTATTTTGAGTATTACACATGTATGGAAACAGTGGGTCATAACTACCTAAACAAAAGCGGGAAAAAAAAACAACTCTCCTTCAAGACTGATGTTAGAGTGAACAATTGAATATCAAATTTTCTAACTTATTTTTCATTCTCGGAGTAGAATTTATGTAACTAAAGGATGACTTCGGTTGGGCTGATATTATTTCTCAGGGTTTTTTTTTCTACGCTTGCACTGTGTGGGTCTACGGTAACTGTACAGTACCTTGTATTTTGAGCACATGTCTCGGACACGCCTCAAACTGTCAAGGTGGTTCTTCTTGCCCTGCTGTCGTCCAATCAGCTCGTTGACCTCTGGATCAAAGCTGTCACAGGAAATAGCCAAGATGTCAAGGTATTCACCTGAGAGAGAATAAAACATGAAACGGCAGTAGTATGTTATAGAAACCATACAAATTTCAATTTTACAAGTGTTTGCCTCAAATTTAATCAGAGGACACTTTCAACTTCACGTTGACTCCTATCATATTAATTCCAAGTCAGTTAGTCTCTTTTCGAGGCTGAGTCACTAAACATTTAACTCATCCCACTCTGGAAAAAAAAAAACCAGTCAAGAACACTAAATCTTGAATTTTCATATTGAGTGTGTTTGGACTTGGGGAAACTTTGAGATTTCATAATGATCATCTATCAAGGACTATATTGTCAGTTTTTTTTAAAACAGTGGATCAGTATTGAATATTGAGCATGTTTCTGTTGACTCAGTTGTTTATTAAGTGTGCAAATCAATGTAACTTTACACTAGCGTTGAAATGCTTTATTGATGTCTGACGTTTGGTATGGATTGTTACTTTTCAAAAGGTTGGCTAACAACAAGGTCATACAGTAGGCTTCTCAAAATTTGTATTCTCATATCTTGGATATTTGTGCTTCAGCCTTACCATATTTTTCGAACCATTTCTCGGATATCAGGCTACCATTGCTGACTATGGTGACACTGGGAAGCTTGAGGTCAACCTTGCAGAATCGTACAAGTTCCCCAACAAATTTGCCTCGCTGAACAATGAATGGTTCACCACCAGAGAAATTGATCTTCTGCATGCCTGTGTTGGCAAGAAAGAAAAAGACAAAAAGAAAGAAACTTACATGTACTAAAAATCATATAAAAACATTTGCAGAGTGGAGGGAAGAAACAGTATTGTGTTCTTCATTTGGAGAATTTTTTGTAGCACAAAAAAACGTTTTCACTTTAACGAACCCTCCATGCTACATGTAGTAGGTGGAAAGGAATTATCCAATCACCCAGCTGCTCCAAAATAAGAAGGGGGGGGGGGGGCTGCACAACATTTAACTATTGGGGGTGCTGCTCAAAGCAGGGGATTTAGGACACTGTTGGACAATATGACACGCTATTTTTTTGCGGCATATTGCATTTGCCGACACTCACACAATATTGTAGGAAGACAGTGTACATGTAGATAGGAAGACAGTGTTGCAGACAAATTGTGTGTGATGACCCCACACGCACCTGAATGCATTGAAGCACATCAAGACAGGATTAAGGGAGTCCTAGTCTCCTAAAGAAATAATGGACCAAACATACCGTACATGTAGTGCATACATGTACACGTTGGTTGGAGCCTAAGAATAAATACAGATCAGTTGTGCAACTGACAAAAGTCTGACATGCATGCACTGACATGAATGTCATGGCCATGCGGTTAAGAGCAACGGACTCAAGCTCTGGTGTTTCTGATCAGCAGAGTGAGTTCAAGTCCCGGTCTTGACACTTGTGTTCTTAAGCAAGACACTTAACCATTATTGCTTCGTCCTTCAGATGGGACGTACCGGTAAAGCCATAGGTCCCGTGTATTGTGTAATGCACGTTAAAGAACCCAGTACACTTATCGCTAAAGGGGCTTTCACACTAGACGATTTCCCCGGCAATTCCCCGGGAAATTGCCGGGGAATTTCGGTCGGTCTGTTCACACTACAAAAAAATCCCCGGGGAATTCCCGGGGAAAAGCTTTTCCCCGGGAATTTTTTACCCCTGCTCGGGAGTAGGGTTAGAGGAGAAATCCCCGGGGTTTTACGTATTACCCGGGGAAAAGCAACTAGTGTGAACGTCGGCGGGTTTGAACTTACCCCACCTTTTTTCCCCCTGTATCGATCGCATTTTGCGACACAATATTCAAGTGCTCCGAACTTTTGGAAATAAATCGCAATGCAAACGGTGTTCAGTTTGTCGATCGGGCCGTCGCGTGACTGAAATACTCACAACTTCAGTTCGCAGCGCCTTGAATGCAACTTTTATCCTCAAAAACATAACCATTTTCCAGCAACGTTTGAACGAACATGTAGGCATTATCCATGATAATTTTCCAGCTGAAAGACTCCCAACTAATTCGCGTACGCTACGCCTGGAAAATCTCACCCACTTTTATCCTCCAAAACAGACAACTGTCATCCAACAACGTACGTGTACATGCATTTTCCATTAAAAATTTCTTCGATGCACGTGCTGAGCTGCAGTACTGCGTCACCAATGTGGATCACCCCATTTACTGTAGGGGTGTACCATATTCTTTTTTTTTAAAGAATATTTACCAGCATTTCCAAAATTATACAAAATTCTCTTAATGAAGTTCGAAACATTTCAATGTTAGAAAAGAAGCTCCTCAACATCACAATATAATTTTTGTTAAGAATTTATTCGAGAAACGATGTAAAACTTTAAAAAGGGTATTAAAAGCACCCCTTTAGTTACGGTATCATTGGATGATCCGTCCATATGATGCAAGGCGAATTGCCTTATGTTTTCCGAAGAAAATTGCGATGGAAAAGTTGATTTTTTGACGTTGCAAAGTCGTTGCTAAAAATAAAAATTTGATAAGATTGGTAGTAAAAAGAGGCCTGTTTGTTTTTATGGCATGCTCCCAACAATGCATGCGGGAACATTTCATCGTACTTCGCCGGTGCGGCCCGGCTCGGAAGAGCGGGTTAATTGGCCGGGCGCCGTGCCGGCTCCGTGTCCGTCGGGGGATAGGTAGGTAGCAATTCTCGATGCGTATTTCTCAACGTCATCATCAACGAGAAACTGAAAGTTTTCTCGAAATTAATAGCCGACTGTCAGCCTAAAAACTTTTGCACAATTCCTGGGGTTTGATTGCGAGTGTGAAACGATCGTGCATATTCCCGGGAAATAGTGTCCCCGGGAGTTATCAAATGTGTCTAGTGTGAACGGTTGCTGGGGTGTTGGTGGGGTAAAAAATCCCCGGGAATATCCCGGGGATTTATTTCCCGGGGATTGGCTGTGCAGTGTGAAAAGGCCTTAAGAGAAGGGGTTCTCCCCGGTGTTTCTGGCAGTGCCTTTATCTTCAACCACGAAATCTGCACTTGTAAGGAAGAAGAATATAAAGTGAGCCCTGGGGAGAAGATTGAGAGGTGCACCTGTTGTTGCAGTGTGCAGGATCAGTCTAGCCAGCTAGGCTCATGAATATTCAGTAATGTCATAAACTTCCAAAGAGTAGGCCTACTGGTATAAGTTTTCTACGAAGACAATCAAAAGAAGCAAGCATTGCCACACTACACATGATATGACATGGACTGCAGCAGTTCAACACTGACAATTTCCCTTAACCCTCCTGCTATAAACAGTCACAGACAGTCAAACTTCACTTCCACTTCCCCTCCTATACTTTTAACAAAGGCTAGTCACCAGCAGTCAGATCACATGTCAAGTAAGCGCTTTGACTAGTCAAACTGGGTCAACAGACAAAGCAGGTAAGTTGTGGTTACAACTGTTATCTCTCACCCGGAGTCAAAGCAAGGTAGCAAGTTACTTACAATGTAAACAGTCCCATCCAGGCAATCCTGCTTTATGTAGGCTGGGAATTCTTAACTGTTGAAAACAGTCACTTGATTGATTTTGACTGCAAGGACAACTTGGCACAGAATGTATGTTGTGCAGTGGGATTCCCCAACACCATCTCCAAGCTATATACGGTCATGTGGATCAGTTATAGAAACATTTTCCTACATGTACATGTACTTCACTGTAGGCAAATATGTTTAAACAAAATAGACAAAAATCACATGTTGAATCTAATATACTGTACCAATAGTCATCCTGTTGAAAAACGTGCTTGTGTACTGTATGGCAGTGATGGTTCATAAATAGATGAATATGTTAAGTCTTTTCAACTTCTTACACCCACATTCTAGTACTGACAGTTGCGATGCACTTATACCATACCAACCTGCATCTTGCAGCATCTGTATTCCTCGTTTGGCTTCCTCTATGGGCAAGACGTCAGACGTCTTGGCTGTATGGAAACAGAACCCACAGGAGTAGTTACACTGCCTAGTGAAGTGATAGTTGACACTCACGGGCAGAGTTTGGGGTCTGTCACCCTCCTTTGCCCCCTCCCTCTGTTTTGTCTTGCTGTAAGCAGCCACATTGGCTTGAGGTTGCAGCCATTTACGCAGAAAGTAGCATGTCAGAAACAGAGAAAATGCAGTCGTCGTGTAGTGTTTTACATTGACAGACATCCAGATGTTTTCAAACATGTCATACATGTCTTGAATTTAGCCAGCCAGCAGTTTACCAGTAGAGGAACAGTTTTTATCGTGAAGTGACACCACCAGTCAGCTGTGCTGAGTTTTCACACTCACACACTCACAGAGTGTTGTTGAGACTCAAACAATTCTTTCACACAATTTGGCTGCCAACAGTACCCAAAGTACTCGTAGGGTGTGGTAAATGAAAACTAGACAGTACATCATCGATGGAAAGATCTACATGTATAACAGAGTTTTGGACTACCGGTAATTGTTCAATTCCAATACAATCAAATCTGCCAACCATAATACCCTGTCATTGTACAGCGCACAATTGTACCTTAGGCCACATAAAAAATAAAAAAAGGTCAGCATCCTTTTTTCCCCCAAAATTCTTGGGTCGAGTGGGCTTTTTTTTGGGGGGGGGGTGGGTTTAAATAGGCCTATTCAATGAGTTTTGTTGACAATGCAAAATATGAAGAATTGTTTCTCCTCAAAATGATATTGTTTCTTTACTCAGGTCACAGATGCATTGTTATGTAGTAATTTACAAAAACACCCAAATCACTATAAAACATAGGGTTTGAGAAATTTTCATGTTTTGAATTGGTTTAACCTAGACCCACTAACTGGGGCGCTAGACCTCCTTGTTTTATAATTTTTGGATTTGGTCTGTCGTAGCTAGCGCCCCACAGAGAGTAAATATTTTTTTGCCAATCGGTATTCTTAAAGACCATTCACCTCAAAAGTTGCTAAAATCACAGCAAAGACTTGACAAAACTACCTTATAAAGCGCCTACTGGCTTCTCCACACGTCAAAGACCAACTACTTGGGCTTCAATGGTACTCACGATCATTTTGGAGCCGCAAATTGAATTTAACCAGTTTGGATCATTCACGGTGGACACATTTTCGGCTTCCATTTTTAAAATACATGTACCGGTATGCAGTGCTCCTATTAATGGATTCAGCCAAAATGGCTGCAGCCACACTTTCCATAGACGCATGTGTTATGGCCAACCGTAGCTAGGTGATTGAGACGGGCCATTCACACTCCGTGGTCACGATCACGTGACCATTAGATCACCAACTATTTCGTGAAATGATTTGGGGTGTGCATTTATGGGTAGTTCAGGAACTGGGTACCTTATAGAAAAAATATGGGTTCCCAGGTACCCATTAAAGAAACCCAAACCAAAAATTCAAATCTGGGAAGTTGATGTTCAGATTGTTCATAAAGGTCCGCATGATAATACTACCACATCGATGCGGCAATACAGCTAGATACATTTAGGGTGTATACAGTGAGCTCTTTAGCTACATGTATGTGATGGAAACTGCAACTTTCGCAAGCATCTTAAAACGTGAAATTGGTTTTGGTTTTCCATGTATCCTGTTTTTCATTTTGAAATGTTCCCACTGACATTTGAAACATTTCTTGTTCATTGACTGAGAAGTTACCAAGTAATTTGCAAAGTTGGTTATGGGTACTCAATTCCATAATCTGGAACCGGTTCCTGACATTAATGGTCGGGTACTCGGGTACCCGGTTCCGATGCACAGCCCTAGAAATGATTGGCTAGCGCTGGCATACACGGCATCTACTGGTCACATGATAGCAACCACGGAGTGTGATTGGCGTGTCTGAATCGCCTGGCTACAGTTGGACATAACCAGGTTTATGGAAAGTGTGGTTGCAGTCGCTTCCGAACCATTAGTTCAGACAGGGCTATTCGGGAATGCATATTTTCAAAATGGAAGCTGAAAAAGTGTGCACCGTGAATGATCCAAACTGGTTAAATTCCATTGATTTCAGCAGCTCCAAAAATGATCGTGAGTTCCATTGAAGCCTCAGTAGTTGGTCTTTGACATGTGGAGAAGCCAGTAGGTGCTTAAGGTATTTTGTCAAGTTGTTGAACAACCTGTCTTCAACTATTTTGGATTTTAAAAAGATCGTTGAAATTGAAAATGCTGTTTTATGTTTTTTTTTTTTTAATAAATTAAATTTAGAAAAAAAATCAATGCGGGCTGTTTTCATAGGGGCGGGCTGGGACGAGCACCATTTTTTTTTTATGTGGCCTTACTTCAACTGAAGGTAGACTACAGACTGAATGAAAACAATTTTTAGAATGCTTTACATGTAAGGCAATAAATCCTGTTTTGATGCCAGTGGTTATCTGATCATTGTAGTGATCAGTCCAAGGCTAAAGAAGGTCACTCCTTTCTTGTGAAAAATAATAGAATTCTATGTTGTACACTGATTTAAATGGAGCATACATTTAAATGGTGCATAGATTTTGGGATTTCCCTTGCAATTTCCTCACATTTTTACTTAAAAACTTCCTTAGGGCTTTAAGTGTCCATTTTGAAGTGAACCAGTACCCATGTCAATTAAGGGGGAGGGAAGGAGGAACGGTCCTCTACATGTAGTTAAAGCGGACAATGACGACTATGATCTCCTGAAATCTTACAAGACAACACTTCAAGTATTCTAGTCCATAGTATGCACAATGAATACAACGGGTGTCAAAGTTTAACACATGGCATAGCTGCATGTACTGTGTATACATGCGCTACAGAATATAGTACAATTCAAATCACCCCGTCCCGAAAATACAGTTTCTCTCACAAAATGATGATAAACCACAACAATACTCACTGGGAAGTTTCTATGAAATATTTTGTAGGGTGCCATGCTATCCCTACAAAATGAAGAGAATTTTTGGAGACAAATATATGTCGGTCTTCTCCGTTCGAAACCCACAGAAGAAAACTTGTTACAAGTTGCCTTTGTGCAAGAAGCACAAAGGTCACATTATGCAAATCAAAGTGTTTCATGAAAATATGCAAATCACTTGCAAATCTTTTGGACGTAAACAACTGAGGGCCCACTTGGTCTCCCTACAGCTTCCCTACTTTAAGATCACGCGACCTGAGTGGTCCCAAAAATACAAGGGCAACATGGAATTTGATTTTAAAACAGTACCAATAGTTAAGTGATTTACGGTGTACGATGAATACTAACACACATGTTACAATCTCAATGCAGTCCATTAAAGAGGTTGTGGAATGCTCGAAGACATTTCCGTCATTTTTCAGGTATATGTAGCCTAAGGTGTGATGAAATAAAAACGACTATTGTGTCTGTCATGAAATGAGTACAAAAGGTACTTTTGAGAGCTGTTTTTCAGGTCCTGTTTCGACCCGAACGTGCAATTTGTGTAAAAGTCGTCGTTGGGGGCAGCAAACAAAACATAGTAAATCGTGACGTAATAAACAGGACTCGTTTATACTACGCTGCAAAAAAGGAGATATTTGTAGAGCAAGCATAATGCATAGCGTAGCAGCGCAATTTCATCGTCGTAGAACACTGCTGGCTGGAACACGTTTTTGCCCGGGAGTAGGGGAAGCTGAAGCATACCGGTAGTAGCACCCAAATCCAAAAAGTTGGGGGTGCTGCAGCACCCACAGCACCCCCGTTCCCGCGGGCTAGAGTACAACAAGCATTCAAATGGCTGAGAAAAGATTTCTTTATTTCCACTTAGTTTCAACCACTGTTCTGAGTGTTCTTACAAAAGTTGTTGTACAAAAATCTTTTTTATTCCTTCAACCCTCCTATGCAAGCATACATTCTGAGCCAAGTTGTCCTTTCAGACGAAATCAACCACACAGGCAAGCGTAAGTGAACGTTGACGGTACACGTACACGTAAAAAGTACACATGCAACATGCATGCAAAAAAATTGGGCGAGTCGCATTTCTTGTTGTCTACGCATTTAGTCTGCTTCCCATTCATAGGCCTCTGTTTAAGGCTAGGCCGCTGTGAACCTGCTGCCGTATCCAGACTAGGGGCCGTTTTTCAAACCTCGGCTTCAGCTGTGTCTTAGCTTTCTCCAGTCATGCAGATTGGCAATGGGGCTGGACCCGCATTATAGTACCGAATCCAGGGTTCAGAAAACGGCTTTGCTCCAGTCTCCCAAGTTAATCGTACATGTACAACCATTTTGATGAACACCTTGGCATACAGTGTGTACAATGATTGGCCATTGTGCCCACATACGTGTACATGGCAAATGGGTCATAGTGCGTATTTGGTCCAGGCCCAGGCCCAGTCAGACCTACATACAGACCCAGTCACGGCTAGCTGTTCATTGTGTTTGTCCGGACATGCATAGAGTAGAGAAAATTTCGATTTCTCTGAAACTGAAAGTACCGGTATCGATAAAATAAGCCGTAGTAACGTAAGTGATATACTGCATTTTTTTTTATCGAGCACCGCTATTCGAGTACGAGTACTTTGTTTTATCGAGTACTGTTATTCGAGTACGACTACTTTGATGATCGAGTACAATTTCGACATGTGCGAGTACGAGTTCTTTGCTATTCGAGTACGAGTACTGTCATATCGAGTACGAGTACTTTGACATTCTTGTACAAGTACGAGTACAAGTACTCCAAAAAAAGTACTTGAGTAGTACTCAAATACGAGTACCGAGTACGAGTACTACAACACTGGTCTGTAGTTAATACAGAGCATCCATCCAACATACACTTTACATGTACAATACAAATGTGGATTCTGATCATGCCAAAAACTCTGAATATGGTTACATACACACAACACTAAGTGTAAACTCATCTTATTTACATGTACCACCTCAACTGTATGAGAACAAGTAACAAGGTCAGGTGACTGCATTTCATCAACCCTGTCTTCACAGGGCTTTTCGATCAGTTTCAAAATTGCAGTGAATCTATCATTTAATGCAGCTTCATTGCTATTTATTTTCTATTAACAGGACATGCAAATTCACCATCTTCACGTAAAATATCCGTGAAGGCACTCACTATGGTCTCAGCTAAAGCCGGTATGTGACTTCAAAATAGAGACTGGCACAGACAATGGTTGGAATAAAGAGATGCTCCTTGTACAGAGAAATGTCATTTTCGCTGATTGATATTTCGTTGTCGTACAGAATATGGTTGAGGGACATTCCCTGTGTCTGTGTTGTTACCCCACTTTAATGACTCATGCAGATTTCTCATGTGATGTTTCTCAAAATAGGGGATTCCCCTACATGTACATACAGTACTGCGTAGCAGTTTTTATTTCCTTGACACTCATTCTTTCTCCAGATTACAAACAATTAATTGTAATATTTTTTTCCTAGTTTTCTTGATTAGAAAGAAAGTGTTAATATGAAATACATAATTTGTAAATTGTGTGTTCACAGTCATGGGTAAAAAAAACCCAACCATTCAGCACTTACATGCATGTACCGGTACCCTTACAAAAGAAAATGCATGATGAATGTTACACTTCGGTAATATCCCAAACAAGGACTCTTTCTTGATGTACTCAGGCTTACCAGTGCAACATTTTTTCCGACAATAACCGTGCAAAGAGCCAATACATGAATTGTACAAGTAAACTTGAATTTGGCATGGACACATCCAGGCTCCATCAACTCATAATTTGACCAATGAAACATTCTAACATCAAGGGGCTTATTCCCCACCCCTCCCTCTCTCTCTCCCCCCCCCCCCCCCCCCACCCCCTCGGACATTAAACCTGACTATGCTACCCGTGGCTGTGTGGTATACTTGTCAACAGTTGAGTGAAATAGGAGCATCTTGGTTGTATATTCAGTAGAAGTACCGGTACAGTACAAGCAAATAATGGGACAAAAAAACACCAAACTGCACAATCACAAATTTTTGACAATCAAGCCAGTTACAGTACAAATCAGCAACAAGTACATGTTCTTGAAATTGCCGATTGGTGATAAGTCAAATCATGAGGAATACATGTACATGTAGGTCACAAGTAACATGGATGAACATGGACTAAGGAATGCCTTCGTCACAGTGCATTTGAATACCGGTAGCTTGTGACTAAGACTTGGTACTGGATGGCCTGTGATTGGTTTGAAATAACTTGTGATCACTTGATAACAATTATGACAATTTGTGAACAATTGCAGTCACTGCAAATGGTACCAACCTGCATCTTGCAGCATCTGTATTCCTCGTTTGGCATCCTCTATGGGCAAGACGTCAGACGTCTTGGCTGTATGGAAACAGAACCCACAGGAGTAGTTACACTGCCTAGTGAAGTGATAGTTGACACTCAGGGGCAGACTTTGGGGTCTGTCACCCTCCCTTGCCCCCTCATGGGTAGCACTAGGTGTCACACTAGTCCCATCCCTCTGTTGTGTCTTGCCATGGGCAGTTAGAGTTGCTTGAGGTTGCAGCCATTTATGACGAAGGTACCGGTACACAACACTCAAAGTCAGGAGAAGCAGTAGTGATGGTGCCAGACTGACATAAGCCCAGATGTCCTCAAACATAATGGTGTATTCAACTCTTGTAAAACCCTCGGTGAAACTACATGTAGTTGACAGCTCACCACTTGGCAAATTGTATGTTATGAGTATGACAGTTAAATGCCAATTCACTGTTTACTTCAGATTGCTATCGTGGTCTGTTGAAAGGAGTACAATATTGCTCATGAATGGCTCTGTTCCAAGTCCAAACATGTATTGAATGGTATTGCTCGTTGCTGAGAGAGGTGAGATTGATGTGCAATATGATCCAGTGTGGGGTAACCCCCTCTCTGAGAAATGTTGTTGAGGGGTAACTACTGTGATGTCATCACCCATAAATAGTGTCGTACGTGTACAGGTATGCATGTACATAAAACATCTGGCCAATTAAAAACACAGTATCAGTTTACCACGCTAGCACATCTCATTATGTCAATTCAACATGATTTTTGACCTGACCCTCACACTCTAGATTGTGCCAGTGTAGCGTGAATATCCGACTCCATGAAATGTGGACTCATTGGTAGTACTGCACACGCGTGAGTACGATACTATGCTATTTTTAGGATCGTTTCGGGAGAGTGACCTGTCATGTGCGAGGGATCAACCAATAATAGAGAAATAGGGGTCCGATTTTCATAGAGTCGGATTTTCATGTGACACCGGTATTTGGTGTAACAATTGGCCTACATGTATTATATGAGAAACCCCCAAACTTATTTTTTTTTTGGGGGGGGGTTATTTGGCTCATTAGTTTTTGAGATCAAAAAAGTCAACAGACTTTTCACTTATTAGCATGACCTCCAAAAAACATACATGTGTACTGTATACATGTACTACGTGTACATGGTATTGCTCATTGCTGAGAGAGGTGAGATTGATGTGCAATGTGACCCAGTGTGGGGAAACCCCCTCTCTGAGAAATGTTGTTGAGGGGTAACTACTGTGATGTCATCACCCATAAATAGTGTCGTACGTGTACCGGTATGTGCATAAAACATCTGGCCAATTAAAAACACAGGATCAGTTTACCACGCTAGCACATCTCATTAATGGGTCATTCCATGTCAATTCAACATGATTTTGACCTGACCCTCACACTCCAGATTGTGCCGGTATTTAGAGTAACGATTGGCCTACATGTATTATACACATGTATGACAAACCCCCAAACTTATTTTATTTTTTGTGGGGGGGGGGGGGGGGTTATTTGGCTCATTAGTTTTTGAGATATGGGTCAACAGACTTTTCACTTATTAGCATGACCTCCAAAAAACATACTGTATACATGTACTACGTGTACATGTACATGTACAAGTATGTGCACGCATGTACCTGTACATGGAATGACTCTTGCTTTTACGGGGTGTGCCATAATCCTAAATTAGGATAATGGATTGAAATATATGGATCCTGATATGATCCACAATTTGAGTATACTTAACTGCACTATCTTTCTAAGCAAAGTAAGGATATCAAGATATGAAGGAACGTTTGCAATTTCCTGGAAACATGCCTAGAAACGTGCCTTTTAATAAAACAAGTGGAGATTGGACTGGCACCAAATTCCCTGTGGTGTCATTTGCAACAAAACAATCATTAAAGATTATGTGTTTTAGCTATGCAATCCAGTTAAAAAGACCCAAAAAATTGTGCATATGTTTTATCTTTTTTCCTCTCTCTAAATGTATCCGTTGAGCGGAAACTTCTGGCACCAAATACAGTACCCTGTGAAATTATTCAGCATGATGATATGGGGTGTCATTTGCAACAAGACAATCATTGAAGATTGTTTAACAAAGTGGCACTAGCTACGCGATCCAGTTAACAAGACTCCCCAAAATGCATGTTTTCTCCTTTTTTCCCCTCAAAATGTATAAGCCTACATGTAGTATCCACTGAGCGGAAATTTCAAAAAGTTAGTTGTTATTTTGAGCAATCCTTTTTACTTCAAACACAAAAAAGGGCACAAAAAGCAAAGTCCATATTTGCATGCATGCGCTGGTTCATGCCTGCACTGTATTGCACTGAATGTGGGCGATTAATTAGGTGTTGGGCCTTGAGCCCAACACCTATTGGTTTTGTAAGAATTTACTGTTTTTGTTCTTTTCAGCATATTCTCAGCAAATCCTTCTCCAGAACTGTTTGGAAAAATGGAAACATATATGAACTTCATTTGTCAATACATGAATGCCCAATCCACCGCAGATGTGTTTTTTTGCAATTACGTAATCATGACGCCATCATGGGTCACGTGACGTCACTTGAAAGTTTAATAAATTTAATCTTTGAAATTCCATATAAAATCAACCGTGAGAGACCGTAACCTGAAATTTGGGGGAAGCGACATGGTAATACATGATCTTCATTTTATGTTGTGCGCGTAAAATCACGTGACCCTTCCTTCCGGTCGAAACCGGAAGTGCAAAATAATTTAAAAGTTTGAAAAAGATATGAACTTGCTTTTAACGATTTAAGTGTCTGCCTGGATTGACCTTTCAAAAAAAGTAATGGGTGACGACATGAATTGTTGGAGCGCCCTCTAGCGGCAGGTAAAAAACCGTCAAAAACGCATTTTCACTTGATGTCTGTGGCGAAGTTTGCGGTAATCGCTTCAAAATTAATGTACATGATGACCATAATGCAGACAACACCTGTGCGCGAAAAAAAAAATTGATTACGTCATCAGACCGGAAGTTACAATAAAAAGACCTTTAAACCTTAAAAAAATTGCTAGAAAATATACCGTGATAGATATAATAAAGATATGGCTGTATACAGCACAGTAAATATCAGAGATGCCACTTTTCCGGTTTTAACCGGAATTCCGGTTTTTAAAAAAAAATCACAAAATTACGGTTTTTCCGGCCGTCAAATTAACCAGAAAAAGAGAAGAAAAACTGTGGAAATGCGTTGATTTTTACCTTGATTGAGCCTACATTTAGGCGCACGCATGGCACAACGTTGTTCGTTGAAGTAGTCTTAAAAACAGTCTTTTAGTATGTTGTTGCTGAGCCTGCATGCGATACAAGCGGCCAACGTACTTGCACGCAGTATACAACGGCGCCTCGCGCGTGCTTCACCGCGTGCGGGCATGTTGTGTGCTAAGCACAAATCAAGTCTATCATTTCAGCTATCGGTGGTTTCCGATCGCAGTGATATATGTGAATACAAAAAATGCGGGTACCAACCATGTTTTCGTTGAGCGCATCGCGTAGTGCAAGGATCATGTACACCGACAGCAGTGTTGTGGAATCGTGCGTGTTCCGTGTCGAATATTACGTTGGAAATTCGGGTAGGCAGAATAAATATTAGGAATATGGAAAAAGTCAAAGTGATTGAACGAACCGACAGCTTTAAAGGCCATAGAAGCAAAATTAAAAAATAAACAGAACTTGGCTTGGCTACAAGATAAAGATGACAACGGGGACTTTGTGTCGGACACGGAGTGGCTTTTTCACACACAAAAAAGTTCCATTTTTTCAAGCAGCCGTTCCGTTTTTTTTTCAAGCAGACCCAGTTCCGTTTTTTTCAAGCAGACCCTGTGGCATCTCTGAAATATAGCTCTGGAGGTTTCTGGTAATGACATCACAATGACGTCATTAAGTATCATATTACAAGCAATCAAAGATTTCTAGATTTAATCTTTGAAAATCAATATAAAATCAAATGCTACAGATTTGATTTTGTTTTTTATGGCAATCGATACAATCCCCGGTGAAATGAACATGGACTTTTCATGAATGTTCATGAACTGTTCGTGATTGTTCATTGCTTAAAGTACATGTACATGAACGACCATCAAAGTTATTCAAAATATTCATGAACAGTTCATGAATGTCCTTGAACAACAAATGAGACAATCGATGTTCAAGAATTATCATGGACAATAATGTTTCATGAACACTTCATGAAACTAGTTAATCCAAATTTGTCAATTGAAATGATGGACATATTTCATGAACAATTCATGAATAAAGGAAACAAAGTTCACTAACAATCCATGAAGACAAACTCATGAACAATTCATGAGTCAAGGACACAGGTCATGAACAATCCATGAAGAAAGGACGTATTGCGTGAACAATTCATGAGTAAAGGAAACAGGTCATGAACAATTCATGAATGAAGGGCACATTTCATGAATAATCCTCCATAAGTTCATCAAAAGCAGTGTTCTTCAAAAGAATTTTCATGCAATGTTGATGAGTGAGCAAAATGAATCGTAAATCCCAAAAAAAAAATAAAAAAAAATAAACTAGAGGTCTATGTCTGTTTGCAACAGAACATAGGGCTTTTCCGCATTACGATTTTTTTTAATCAATATTATGCCCTGAATATTCATGAACATAAAATCTGTCAAAAGAATTTTGCATTTTGCGTTCGGGAGATATGGCTAAAAGGTCCAAAAAAATAAATATTCATATAAAATCTCAGGATGACGTCATCATGACGTCACCTCATTTTTAATCTATAACACATCCTGGTATAGCCACATACCAAGTTTCATCCCAATCGGACTTACATTTCTGTAGATATAAGACTTCACAATATGTACGTAAATTTTCAAAAATCAATAAAAAATTAGGTGATGACGTCATCGTGACGTCATAGTCTAGGCAGAATTTTTTTTATGAGGGTCTTCCTTGGCTGTATCTTTGATGACGATTCCAGATCGCCAAGTTATAAAAATGGTGCCTTGAAAACGTGTACAAAGTCAATGGGTTAAAAATCCAACAGCAGAAAAACTGCACCTTTAAATACGTGATTTGCCTTTAAACTGAAACATTCTTATCAAATACTACTTGATATTCTGACTCTTGGGAATATTTTCAATCAAATGACAGGCGTAAAAAATACGATTTCTTTTTTCTTCTCATAGTAATTCTCAGCCGAAGTTCAGAACTACTCAGTAAGATATATCAGTGTTGTATAGGAAAAGACTTGTGGAGAAAGCTGTGTACAAAGTCTATGAGAAAAATTAATTATTCATGAATCCATAATAAATCATTTGATGATGACGTCTTCATGATGTCATAGTCTTGGCATAATTTTTGTATGAGGGTCTTTCTTGGCTGTAACTTTGATGACGATTCCAGATCGCCAAGTTATGAAAATGGTGGCTTGAAAACGTGTACAAAGTCAATAGGTTAAAAATCCCACAGCAGAAAAACTGCTCCTTTAAATTAGTGATTTTCCTTTAAACTGAAACATTTTTATAAAATATTACTTGCTATTCTAACTCTTGGGAATATTTTCAATCAAATGACAGGCATAAAAACATACGATTTCTTTTTCCTTCTCATAGTAATTCTCAGCCGAAGTTCAGAACTACTCAGTAAGAAATATCAGTGTTGTATGGGG